GAGGGGAGGAGGAAGGTGGGAGATGGTGGTGGGAGGTGGATGAGTGAACCTGGCTTCTCACTTCCCCCGATTTTTGATTCTCTCTGGTTTTTAGGGGACGGGGTGGACTTCCTCTCCTGGTTCCTCAACGCGCTGCACTCGGCCCTGGGCGGCACGAAGAAGAAGAAGAAGAGTGAGGAGAGGGCGATGAAGGCCCCTTGTTCCCTTGGGGTGATGCTGGTCACCCACCACCCCCACTCACCGTCTTTCTGTCCCCGCAGCCATCGTCACCGACGTCTTCCAGGGCTCCATGCGCATCTTCACCAAAAAACTGCCCCACCCGGATCTGGTGAGTCCGTGATGGGGCAAAACCGGGGGAAATCTTGCCCCTGTGGGGGTTTGCTGAGCCCCGTGTCCTACAGCCGGCCGAGGAGAAGGCGCAGCTCCTGCAGAACAGCGAGTACCAGGAGATGATGGTGGAATCCACCTTCATGTACCTGACGCTGGACCTTCCCACCGCGCCGCTCTACAAGGACGAGAAGGAGCAGCTCATCATCCCCCAGGTGCCCCTTTTCAGCATCTTGGCCAAGTTCAACGGCGCCACCGAGAAAGAGTACAAGACCTACAAGGAGAACTTCCTCAAGCGATTCCAGCTCACCAAGCTGCCTCCCTACCTCATCTTCTGCATCAAGCGCTTCACCAAGAACAACTTCTTCGTGGAGAAGAACCCCACCATCGTCAACTTTCCCATCACGTAAGGCGGAACTCCCGGGCGGGTGCTTTGGGTCTCTGTTTTCCTCTCCCTGCGCCGTGTTCGGGCTTTGTAGGAATCCGGGAGGGGTTTGAAAGTATCCGGGAGAGGTTTGAAAGGATGCGGGAGGCGTTTGTAGGAATCTAGGAAAGGCTTGAAAGCACACAGAAACAGTTCAAAGGTGTCTGGGAGGAATTAATAGATATCTAGGAGGGGTTTCTAGACAGCCAGGAAGGGTTTGAAGGTATCTGGGAGGGGTTTGTGGACTTCTAGGAGGGGCTTGAAGCCATCTAGAGTGGGTTTATAGGCAACCAGGAAGGGTTTGAAGGCATCTAAAAGGGGTTTGTAGGTATCTAGAAAAGTTTGGCAGTATCTAGGAGGGGTTTGTAGAAATCCAAGAAGGATTTGTAGACATGCAGAGAGGATTTGAAGGCATCTGCAGGGGTTTCAAGGCATCTAGGAGGGGTCGGAAGGCATCTAGGAGGAGTTTGAAGGTGTCTGGGAGCAGTTTCAGGGCATCTGGGAGGGGTTTGAAGGCATCTAGAAGGGATTTGAAGGCATCTGGGAGGGGTTTGAGGGCATCTGGGAGGGGTTTGAGGGCATCTGGGAGGGGCTTGAGGGCATCTGGGAGGGGTTTGAGGGCATCTGGGAGGGG